ATAATGGAAAAGATGCTGTGAATAGACAAGAGAAGTGAAGTCAGATCTCACAGAGGACTGGAATCAGAAGTGGGATCCACTGTGATCTGTCTCTGTCTCTTTCTCTCCGGGCCTACATGACATCAGTATGCTCTTGTGTGGTTCTGCTCTCACCCTTTCTCCACCTTTGTTTTTCACTTGCTCAAACAGTTTGACTTAGGCACATATGGGAAATTGGACTCTCAGTGTTTCATGCTGATAGATATAGTGTAGAATTCCCAAGTAAATTCCTAGGAGAGAAAATTTGATGGGGTTGATGTAAGTCAGATTTCCATTCCTGGCTCCACCATCTGTGACCAAAGAACAGGCAGAGTGTTGGCTGCAAAAGTCCATTACTGAAGGATCCATTGAGGCAGAACCGCTAAACATTTAACTAATGGTTACTACAAGGAACACGTTGTTCTAAGTGCTTTATATATGTCCACTTATGTAGTAGGAAGGCTGACCTATATCTCCAATTTTCCTATATCTCCTATATTTCTTAGTGACTAAGTAGCCATATTAGAGATTATTTTCCTATGTGTGTTCAAAACTATCCTAATATAAAGTAGGAATGGGAAAAATGAGGGTGGGGGAGTATATGGTCAAAACCCACTAAAATTTCACAAGACATTGCAGCATTATTTACCATAGCTAAGATATAGAACCAACCTAGATGCCCCTCAATAGATGAATGGATCAAGAAAATGTCACACACACACACACACACACACACACACACACACACACACACACACACCACACACGCACAATGGAATTCTATGCTTCCATCAGAAAGAATGACATTGCCCTAATTGTAAGGAAATGGAAAAACTTGGAAAAAATCATTTTAAGTGAAGTAAGGCAGACCCAAGTAAACATAGATGCTATGGTTTCCCTCATTTGTAATTAGTATGTGTCTAGGATAGAGGATCACAATAGCTCAATAGTTATGTACATATGATCATATAAAATGATGTTAATCAAAATGAACTCCAAGATATGGAAAAAACCCAAAAAATTTGCAAGAAAATTGAAAAATAGAAAGAGAAGCTTGGGGAGGAAGATAAGAAAGAGTAATAGAAGTGTTGAATATGATCCAAGTACATTGTGTGTATGTATGGGAATATCACAACTTAATCTCTTTGTACAATCAACATACACTAATAAAAAGCTAATGTCCAAAGGTCCCAAATATCCTAATACAACTCATTTGTGATCTATGTTTAAAGACAAAACTTATGGATGAATACATAGACTGGATAGCCTGTGATATGTTTATTTTCTCTCAGTATTTCTAACCAGTATATATGATTTTTTTTCCTACTCACAAAAACCCCAGAAGATTATGGACTCCCTTTGCTGATCTCTTGACAGGGCAGATTAGGCAAGAGTAAGGTCTTTGGGTCAGTCGGGAGGGAGTGGAAATCCTAACTATTGCTCTAGCTCTGGAAGCTTGGCCAAATCTTTTAATTTCTTGGATTCTTAGTTTTACCAGGTCAAGAGGCAGAAGTATGTATGCTATAGGCAAAAGCCTATATTAGTATTTGTGCTGGTACTGCAGCTTGAACTCAGAACTTGGGAAATGTCTGCTTTTTTTTACTCAAGGCTAGTGCTCTACCACTTGAGCCACAGCTCTACTTCTACGTTTTTGGTGGTTAAGTGGAGATAAGAGTCTCATGGACTTTCCTGCCCTGGCTGGCTTTGAACTGTAATTCTTAGATCTCAGCCTCTTGAGTACCTAAGATTACAGACATGAGCCAATGGTGCCTGGCTAGAAGTAATATTTCTACAGGAGATCACAAGGGAGCATGGGAGCCAAGAGAAAATGGGGAGGGAGACAAGAGACTGATGGGGATGGATAAACTCAAACTACATTAAACACGTGTGTGGACATATCTTAATGAAACCCACCATTTTATGCAATAAATAAAAAATAAATAAGTGAAATAAAAATAAAAGTAATTCTATAAAGTACCAAGTATGTAATACGCCATTGGTAAAATATACATGATGATATTTCTCACAGCATACAGATGCTTCTTCACTTATAATGGAGTTTATCCTGATAAACCCATTATAAATGGAACATGTTGACTGAAGGATAGCAGTTTGAGGCTAGTTGAGGCATAAAAGTTCATGAGACTTCATCTTAACCAATGACTTGGTGTGGTGGCACATGTCTATTATCTCCCATGAATGCAGGGAAGCATGAGTAGGGGGACTGCAGTCTAGACTGGCTTGGACTTAAAGCAAGACCCTACTGCAAAAATAGCTATCTGAAAGCAGGGAGGGAAAGTAGGAGAAAAATGAGGGAAGGGGTAACAAGTTTGACAAGCAATGTACTTATTACCTTACTTATGTAACTGTAATCCCTCTGTACATCACCTTGACAAATATATATATATATATATATATATGTATGTATATATGTAAACTATCTTAAAAAAAATAGGCAAAAGCTGGCTGCTGATGGCTCACTTCTGTAATCCTAGCTACTCAGGAGGCTGAGATCTGAGAATCTCAGTTCACAGCCAGCCCTGGCAGGAAAGTCCTTGAGATTCTTATCTCCACCACCAGAAAACTGGAAGTGGCACTGTGGCTCAAAGTGGTAGAGTCCTAGCCATGAGCAAAAGAGCTCATTGATAGCTCCCAGGCCCTGAGTTCAAGTTTCATGGCTGAAAAAAAGAGGCATAACACTTGCTTTATACGCATGAAAGTCCTGAGTTCAATCCCTCTACCAAAAGAAAAAAAATTAGTACACTGATCTTACTCAATATCACAGCTTAACAACAGAACACATTGTTTAAAGATCTGCTCCTTTTGGGGGGGCATTGCATTTTTTTTGTAAAATCAAGTTATTCTAATTTATATGGTCAAACACATGCAATTAGTAATTTTCACCCCATGGGTTTATAGTCTTTAGGTGTACAGCAATGCTGAAAGAGAAGGACTCCCTGATCATGTCCTAAAAATGACAGTAAGTCAGATACAAAGAAAGGACATTTCCTCCTGTAGGGACAAAGGGAATTAATAGAACAAGAAAGAAATTATTTCAGACCTTTGAAGATATTGATTCCTTGTTGAAAACACAAGTCAGAAAGGTGGGCAGGTCATGGAAACCTTTTATAATCCAAGGCAGCATATGACTGGACACACACCTCTGTCAGCATTACTATACTTTTGCAAGCAAGTGCCATTTCTTAGAGACAAGGTGAGGATTCCAGCTTCCAGTCCCAGAAGCTACCAGTTGCCTATAAGTAGAATTTGTGGCTAAGAGAATTTATTAGATACCAATCTGAGGGAAAAAAAATCTCTTTTTGGTAGGGGTGGTGGAGAGCCTTATGAGAGAGATTACAATTTTGACAACTTCTAGTTTGGGACCTTCGAGGATGATGTAATCTCTTAACATAGCAGCATGCATATATCACGCTATCATGGTGAGAAGAGAGCTGTGGAATGGCGTGACTGAAATGGCTTCCTCCTTCCCCATAGCCCAGAGTTCACATAACCGCAACACCTGGGCCAGAGAACTCAGGCATCCGTGTATCTCAGCTTCTCAGTCATTTCTTTTTTTAGTAGCCGTAGGGACTTTAAGAAACAGTTCCTTGAATTAGAATTTATTTATTTTTATTTTTTAATTTTTTTTTAATTTTTTTTTTTTTTTTTTTTTGGGTCCAGTCATGGGGCCTGTACTCTGGGCCTGGGCGCTGTCCCTCAGCTCTTCAGCTCAAGGCTAGCTCTACCACTTGAGCCACTTCCGGCTTTTTTCTTTTTGCTTATGTGGTGCTGAGGAATCGAACCCAGGGCCTCAGGCATGCAAGGCAAGAGCTCTACCACTGAGCCACCTTCCCAGCCCTAGAATTTATTTTATTTTATTTTCTGGGTTTGTGATTATTTTTCCAAGTCTTTTATTTATTTATTTTTGTTTAATTTATTGTGAAAATACTGTACAGAGGGGTTATAATTACATGGGCAAGATAATGAGTACATTTCTTATCAAGCATTGTAGCCTCCTCATTTGTTTCCCCTTCCCATCCCATCCTCCTCCCACCCCTCCACCCAACCTCCCCCGACCAAAGTTGTAAAGTTCGTTTTCGACATAACGACTTGTACGTCTCATTGTTGCAATGGGTCCACCTGTATCCCTATTTAAACAATTTGTTTTTTCCCCTCCCCTCCACAAATTATAACAACATCAAATACAGTGAAAGCAGGGGTTATACCGTGGGGGAGGATCATACAAAGCAACAAAGAAATAATCTTATAAATGTGTTAGAAACAATCGCATGAAAGAAAAAAAAAACATTTGAATACATATCTTAGGGTTCATTTCCCTAACATCACCTTATCTGACCTTTTCTGCTTGACTCAGACATATGCTACTTATTGCAAATAAGGGAAACCATGGGACCTATGTTTCTTTGGGCCTGGCTTACTTCACTTAATATAATTTTTTCCAAGCCTTTCCATTTCCTAACAAATGGGGCAATGTCATTCTTTCTGATGGAGGCATAGAATTCCATTGTGTATATATACCACATTTTCTTGATCCATTCATCTACTGAGGGGAATCTGGGTTGGTTCCATATCTTACCTATGGTAAATAAGACTGCAATAAACATAGTCGTGCTGGTAGCTTTAGTGTGGTCTTGTTTAGTGTGGTCTTAGTGAACATTTGGGTAAATGCCCAAAAGTGGGATTGCTGGGTCATAGGGGAGCTCTATGTGGAGTCTTTTGAGGAACCTTTTCCAGATCTTTTAAATGAAGGTTTTCTAACAGGTTAAAAAAAAAAAAAAAAAAAACAACAAAAGGAAACTTAGATGTGAAGCCCAGCCTTACTGAAACTCTCCTGGTGGTCAGGCTCTAATTTATTTCCAGTACAAAGCTCTGACCCTTTCCAGTGAGCCGATCACTGTCTTATTGTAGTAGCAAAATGCCTTTTATTTCATTTTTAATTTATTTTTAATTTTTATTTTTTATAACATTTCCTGCATGGTTTATCTCCCCAGTCATTGTCCACAGGACTCTGGGAAGCTGTAGGAATATGCAGGTGCAGACACAAAGCCTGGCTTCATATCCAACATTGTGGAAAGGGACTATACATCATTGGGCAGAGCCCTATGCTTCCCTAGACCACAAGGTTCTTTCGTTTTATACTTTCTTTTTTATTATTATTTTAAGTAGTTGTACAAAGGAGTTTCCATTCAGCAAAGTACTTTATGAATACAATTATCTTGATCAATGCATTACTATCTGATTTTGTCCTGGTTCTCTCTCTCTCTCTCTCTCTCTCTTTCTCTCTCTCTCTTTCTCTCTCCCTCCTTTCCTTCCTTCCTCCCTTCCTTCCTTCCTCCCTTCCTTCCTTCCTTCCTTCCTTCCTTCCTTCCTTCCTTCCTTCCTTCCTTCCTTCCTTCCTTCTTTCTTTCTTTCTTTCTTTTTCTGTCTATGTATGGTTGTAATGGTATTTGAATTCTGGGTTTTCATACTTGCTTTCATTGCCTGTTCAGTTGATACCTTACTATTTGAGCCACATCTCTAGCCTGGCTTTTTTGATAGTTATTTTGGAGATAGATCTCATGAACTTTTCCGCCCAAGCTGGCTTTCCTCAAGCATGATCTCTGAATGTCATCTTTCTGAGTTGCTAGGATTAGTGAAATGATTCACTGCCACCCTGCTGTTCTGCTTTCCTCACAATATTTCACTCTTGCTGTTTGCCTCATTAGCTCTCCCAGAGTCACCAGGGCCATAGTTTTAGAATGCAGGCCCCCACTTACCTACTGTGGCCACATCCTCTCCAGCTGCAGACTTCCTTGGCATGTGCTCCAGTGTGCAGGGAGGGCAGCTCTGGGTGCTGTGTTACTGCAGGATGCACAGGTCAGAGGCGACTTCTGTTGTGTTCAGTTAGCATGCCCTCCAGGATCCTGCAGAGGGCTCACCACACACCAGGTATTCAATATTTTTTTTTTTCATTTTTTTCCCCTGCTAATACCTGCTTTAGTCATCTGTGCTGCTAATCCATCTTGTCTTATTCTGATCATCCAATGTCTGACCCCCCCTTCCCCCCCTTCGTCCCCTTGCTGATTGATTTCCAATACTAACATACATAATTTAGTTGGAGTCCCACACTAATGCTAATTATTATTCATAGAAATACTTAGAACTTTTCATCATCAAAATGTCTTCTAATTTTAGTTAATTAATCAACCACAGATTTGTGTGTGGGTGAATATGAAATCTGATGTGAGGTGATAAATCACTAAACAGCAGTACTATCATTTTTAATAGGAAAGAGATAAATGTGAAGATGATTTCACATGAGCTATTATCAGGAAGTCAGCGTGAGCAGTGACCAGGGGTCAGGACACCTGGCTTCACTCTGAAATCCATCAGTGACTGCCTAAGTGTTTCGGGCAGATTCATTAACCTAAGACATCTCACTTGTAAAACAATAGCAACTGTATCAGAAAGCTGTGCAGCTCAAAAAAAATAACACACTATATACTGAGCTTGCCATATAGTAAGGGCTCAGGAGGTAATAATGGTGTAGCTTCCTCAACTGTAGTTCAAATAAAAGATATAAAACATGGATTTTTAAGCAATGGCAATTTTTATTTTGGGGAGGAGTCAGAAGACTTGGGGCTTCACTGCCTATATGATGGGTGAGTCAGTGGTACTAGGGTGTAAGGCTTCTAGGAAGCAAGACTCACGTGGAGCCCCATGACAATGAAGCCCCTAGAGTTAGACCTCATTTCCTGGCACCTCAGTTTGCTTAGATATAAAATATGTACACAAGAATCACTTCTAAGATGGGCCCTGGTAGCTCACATCTGTAAACTTAGTTACTCAAGAGGCTGAGATCTGAAGATTGTTATTTAAAGCCAGCTTGAGCAGGAAAGTCCATGAGATTTTTATCTCCAATAAACTACCAACAATCTGGAAATGAAGCTGTGTCTCAAGTGGTAGGGTGCTAGTCTTGAGAGAGAGAAAAAAGAAACCTCAGGAACAGAGCCCAGACCACGCATTTAAGCTACAAGAAAGGTGTGAGCGCAAGCATGCATGTGTGCATGCGCACGCACACACACTTACAAAAGAATACACACACAAGGAGAATTACTCCTAGGGATACAAGGATTGATAAAAGCAATGTTTGCAAAGCTCAATGCTTTGCATATGTTAAGTATTATTTTGGGAAATTGAAACATGTAATGTTGAAACACATGATAGAGTTAGATCTAAAGTCACTATACATTAATGAATACAGATACACATTATTCTTTATTTGATTTTGACATAAAACCATAATGCTTAGAGATATGAAGTCCCAGAAAATATTCCCATTTTATAAAATGTGCAAAATATTACAAGGTACACTTTCTCCAATTCTTATTTCTTCCTCTCTGAGCCCTTAGAAGTCTGCTGCACATTCATGTCTCACTCTCTTGATGTATAGACAAGCTCTCCTGATTCTACTTTCGAACTTTCTGATCTAACAGGCCTTTCTTTGCTAACATTCCATTGTCTTTTAACTTGATTTCTTCTCTTGACATCTGTATTTCTTTCTGCCACCATTACTATCAACTTCCCGGATTGAACATTCATTTCACTTCTGTTCTTTGTGTCTGCATTGCTTTCTGGCTTCCCACTCACATTTGCTGGTTCTTCCCTGTGCCCAGGTTGACCCATGTCAGGGCAGATGAAGGTCACATGCTTTATAATGGAAAGAGCAAGCATCCATGTTCCGGAGGGAGTGGGGCCAGAACTGGGCAGATCACACACAGGAGCCCTGGCACTATGCTACTCCTCTCCCAAGTGGTTCCTTCTATGTTGCCAGCTTGCTCTGCACAGGAGTGCTGGCTGAAGAGGGCGTTCGGGATGAAATCTGGTCAGCCCATCATCTTGAGGGTTGTGCTTGATTATGGTATGTGAGAAAGTGGCACTTGCATCTGATTCATACAGAGCTATCAGCTAGTGCAATCTGTATGTTTCCTTTCCCTCAAATTAAGTTGTTGACATTCTCATCCCCAATATGATGATATTAGAAGGCTAGAACTTCAGGAGGCCATTAGGTCAAAAGGTCGGGCCCTCATGAGGATTGGAGCCCTCATAAGAGACTTTGGAGAGCTACTTTGTCCCCATGCCAAAAGATGGCTTACTGTGAGCCAAGAATCAGGTCCTTAAGTGACATTGAGTCTTCTGGCATATTGATCTTGGACCTGCTGCCAGAAGTGAGAAATAGACGTTTTTCTTTGATAAACCACCCACTTAGAGTAGTTTGTTAGAGAAGTCTACATCAACTTAAGATACTCTGTACTAGCTGAAATGCTGATCCCCCTTTTTTTTACTTCTTAGAAATTTACACAGAGTAGAAGGTTTGAAGTCTTTTCACTCCACTGTTTGGATTAATTACTATTCAAATGTACTGTGAGCCTCTGTTCTGCTTTGTCTTTATCTTTTCTCATGTGTTCTGCCCAATCAAATGTGACAAGAAAGCTGGCTATGGAGGCTCATGTCAGCAGTCCTAGCACTTGAGAGACTGTGTTGTCTCAAAATCAAACCAGTCCAAGCCAAATAAAACATCCAATCTGAAAAGGTTATCTCCAGCATCATTTTAATGAAATTTTGTAGCGACACACCCTAAGGGAACCACAGGTGGTATAATTTCCTCCTCTTAAGTATAGGCAGAACTTGTAATTTGCTTTCAGCTAACAAAAAGGTGGCAGAGGTGCTGGGAGAGTTATTTCTATGGTTACAGACAGGGAAGGGATATTTTTCTGATAGCCTCAGAGAAGTCAGTTGCATTATAGTGAAAGAGAACTGTAGGAAGCCTTGAGGATCTATGGGCAGTCTGAACCTGCCGAGAGCAGTTTTGGGTTGGCAGCTGGCAGGGAAATAGATCTACAGTTGCAAGGAACAGAATTCTGGCAACATTGTATAACCCTGGAATATACTGCAGATGAAGACTTTGTCGACCAAATACCTGGATCTTAGCCTCATTAGACCATGAGCAGAGGATAACATTGAGTCATGCCTGAATGCACGCCCTGCAGAGACTGTCAGAGAATAACTAGGCATGGTTTAAGCTGTCAAGTTTGTGAAATTTATTAGGTAGCAAGAGGAAATGAATAGGTGCTTCTTTTCCTGGGCACATTTATACAAGTAAGTCCCCAATTTCCTTAGAGTAAGATGAAATTACTTTTATATTAATAATGCTTTTATTTCAATATCACCACACTATAGTGTTATTCTCTATTGGCTGGTATGTTTATTATATACTTTGTTTAATAATCGTAAGTTCTTTACAAAAACAGAGAATGAAGACAAGGAAAAGGTATGCTCAGTCGGAGAACATTTCCGGAGCACAAAACTACTCAGTCAGATTCTATCTACAGATGTAGATTCCACCTACATCTAACCCAGAACAGATGGACAACACTACAAGATGACTTAAATGATATTTCCCTTAAAGTGTATGTTATAAAAAAGAATGTGTAGCATTGTGTTTACTGCAAGGAATAAAAGGGCTAAAAAGGCACGGGTATGAATATATATAAGTATTTATATTCCAATATATTTTTATATTAAACATATTATATTATAATTATAATCTATAAAAATCTATAATAATAATATAATAATAATCTATAATCTAAAATAATATATTAGTAATATATATTAAAATATATAACATAGCATATATACTATTATATAATATTATGTATTATATGTCATAATATATAACATAAATTATATTATATTATGTTATTATATATAATATATAATTATATAATATATTATATGTTACTTATATATACTTGTATATTAGAATATAAATTATTATATATATGCTTCAAGCTTTAGTAAGCATTTATTTTAGTATAATAGATTTAAGAAAGGAAGAAATACAAAAAGAAAGATGAACATTTCCTGCTCCCCATGAAGGAAATAGGAGTTAAATATTCAAAATGGAGGCTCTGAACTATACTTTTTAATGCTAAAAAAGGTATATTTTAATAGCTTGCATGTTAAAGGAATGTGGGAGAAATAACCTCCACAAAATTAGTAAATATGTCACTTGTTTGAAAAATACCCAGCATTGTTATGAAGGTGTTTCAGGAAGAAAAAAATAACATTAAAATTCTTTTATTGTAAGGATGATGTCAGAGGGGTTACAATTACATAA